CTTTATCGATTCGCGACCAGGGACCCGATTCTCGAGTTCGTTCGATCGACTTTCGCGTGCTCGTCGGGAGCGAAAGGAAAACCGACCGAAGTCGCATTCGACACATTTTTCGTTATCTCGGGGAGACGACCGGGCCTTGCTCCGCGGTCCATTGAAATAAAAGTTAACAAGTAATGGAATCCGACGGTGAAATAAGTTACGTCGTTTCGCGTAACGCGTCTCTCCCACGGTCTGAGTACAAAGTTTTTAAGACTCCGAGTACAGATTACAGCGAAATAACAAAGTTTTCATAACGTCCGAGAAAGCCTCCCTCGAATGTCAAACTCTGACAAGAAGCGTGCAAGTTTCCCCGAACTTTCGTTCCACTCCGATATCCACCGAACCGAGTAATATCTTAACTAAGTGCGTTCCCGCTCGACTCGGACCCGCAAAGATCGATACGTAATCCATTAGAGTTGCGTCGGAACCATTGCTCCACGGCAAACGGTCAATATTTATAACGAGCTCGAAACTTCCCTCGTCAAAGCGACAAGGAGCTCCCATCTTAACCGCGCGTACCTCCTTAACCCGAAAACGGCGCCAGTTAGCCGGGCCCAATCTCTCGCCCCGATTGAAAAACAATTTTTTTTTTTTTAAACCACTTCGGAGTCCCGCTCTCCAGCTTGCACAACTCCTCGTCTCGACCCGCGGCCGTCGATTGATCGACTCGTTCTCCGGTCGTACTCGCGCTCCCCGAGAACGCATTCAAATGCAAATGCATTTATATTTGAATAATGACCCGTCGCCGTTTGAAAAAATAATGGCACGTCCGCGTTTACGAGGACGTCCCGAAGAGCTCGCCGACCCAGGCATCGCATCGACCTTCCCGGGATCTCGATTCCTTCGACCATCGATAAGGGGAAACGACGTAGAACCCGTCGCGGCTCGTCGCGTTCATGTAGGACCGAGTAGGAACACGTGTTCCTCGTATCGTTCCGTCCGTCCCGCTCCGCGCGCGGAACGGCGCGGTAAATATCAGGCGCGTCGATTAAACGGCTAGAGCGGAGATCGCGACGTCGCGAGGCGGCGAGGTCGTCGACGGTATCTCCGCGGTATTTTTACGTCGTCGCCCCCTCCGGGAACTCGGGGCCGAAATAGATCCTTCGAATCGTTCGGACGGGCGCGAAGAGTATGGGGTCGGTCGCCCGGGGGCGAGGAGAGCTTCTGGAGCGCGAACGGGACCCGGGAGTCGCCGGCCGATGCGGAATTACGACGCCCAGGACTCCCATTCTCGAGTTCAAACGGATTTTTTTTTTTTTCATACGAATGGATTCGCATCGTTACGAAGTCGCGTCAGTGGACGACGTTTAAAAGTCATCCTCAAAACTGTCAATTTCTTATGCGAGAGTTGGTCGCACGAGCTCGACTCTCGAGTCCCAGAAGCAGCTTTTATCGGTAACGGTAGTAGCTCGGCTTTGTTAAAAGGTAAACAGGTGCGCCGGCGGTGGTGCTTAATACGCTCCATGGTCGTAATAACGTAGGACGGAGCGTCGCGACGCGGCTGCCGCTTTAAGCAACGGTCGAGAAATACCCCCGGCACCGTCCGGCATTTACCTACGATATCGAGTCGGCGCGAGTCTTGTTACGGTGGACCGACGGCATCGAATTCGAGACGCGACGCCGAAGGGCGTATCTCGCGCCGATAACGCGGACGCTCCTCGTAATTTACCATCGGGAACGGCGGAATCTTGGGGCAAGCGGGGTCTCGCGATATCGCGTCGTCGACGTCGCGGCGACCTCCGGTGCCAGAAGAGGCGGAGAGGCCGCGAAAGAGCGGCGTCGCGACGTCAGGTGACGGGAAAAGGAGGCTTCCCACGCGAAAGCGTCGACGTCGGCACGACTCGTCGCGATAAGCGGCCGTCTCGAGTTCCGCGGACTCGCGACTCGCTCTTAACGTCGATTTACTCACGTCCGATTCGGCTCCTTTTTATACAGGGACGAACGCGAATACCCTCCCACGGGAAGACGGAGCACCGAGAGAAAAATTTAATCGAGTCAAAGAAATATTTCTTCGAAGATTCCCAATGGAATATCTGGTTAATTCGAGGAATGTCCCTCAAATAAATTCGAACCACCAGGATGCAACGTTTCCGCGGAGCCGTAACAATTTATTCCACTCAAATAATTATTCCCAGTTACCAAAATAATTCTTTGGCAACGTTCAAATATTTCTCCGGTTCGATGAGTTCTTTTCTCTCGGCGTATCCCCGGGGAGAGATCGCGGAGGGCAGGCGGTGCCGGGAGGCGCCCCTCGGCATCCGCGGAAATATCCGCGGACGGGAGAGCACTCGCTTGCTAAGCAGGGCGGAACGAGCCCTCCCCCGCCCTGCGTCGCGACGCGGCCACCTCTCTCCTTTGCCGTCGACGACGGCGACCCCGCGTCCGAATTCGCCGGGGGTGGAATCGACGGAGGGCGCGACGTCGCGGGAACGAGATGCGATAAACGGACGACACGGAAACGCGTCCGGTTTACGTGTCCTCGCGCGTGTCGGAGGGGCGGGACGCGGGGGAAACGCCGCGGTCCAGCGGTTATTCAACGCACCCTCGGACGGACGGGCGGACGGGCGGACGGAGATCCGGCGTCTGGGCTTTGCGTCCCCGGGACAACCTCGCTATTTATGACGTCGGCCCCGAGCTTTCCGGCGTCGCGCGGGACGCGAAACCCCCACATCCGGGGGGAGGGGGCAAATACTCGGCGCGGGGACGCGCATCGTCCGCGGAAAACTCGCCTAGATGTAAAACCTCGCTCGAAATCCCGGAAACTACGGAGAGGGTCGTGGCGGCAGTCGGCCGCCAGTTTGGCACAGTTGTCGGGCACGTGTGCGAGCACGCGTGCGTCCCCGGATTCCCCGATCCCTCCTCGCGACCAGGGTCATTACATCGTCGTTAAAATCACGATTTTTTAAATCTCGCAATTATTTAAATCAACTCCTTCGAGAACATACGAGGGTCGTTTGAAAAAATAAAAGTCAGTCGATTAAGACCGATGATTTCGATGAAACGACTCGAGTCGGCTGAACCCTGCCCGCGGCGACGCGGGACCGCATCCGGAACCCGCGAGCACTCGGGACAGTCGACGGTTTCGTCGAACGACTCGCGACCGAGAGAAATCCCGGAGCAAACCCGGGAAGCCGGATACGCGCGGCCGAATATCCCGAGTCTCGGGTTCCCGCTTTATTTCGGTACTTCCTGCTAAACATAGCGGCGCCCCGGAGAGTGGACGCCCGCTTCCGAGCACGGAAACGCGGCGCGGAGTTACGCGAGTCGGCCGCTGCGTCGCCTAACGAGCGGCAACGAGTCGCGGCGCGGTTTTTACGAGCGGCGCGCCGAGCTGAAAAAGAAGGCCGATGCGACGTCCGCGCGCGCGATCGACCGTGCGCCGTCGCCGGTAATAGATATTATGTAAAGGGGGCGCGACGCGGCCGATCGCTCGCGAGTCCTTTTGCCTTCGAGATATCGGGGACCGGGAGCGCGGCGCTTTTATCGACGTCGCCGATTAACCGCCACCGGCGATCGGCCGCCGCGCGATATCGCCGACCGCGAGTAAACAAACCGCGCGGCTCCCTCCGCACGGTGGACCAAAACGCAACGTCGAGGTGATACGAAGGGGCCATTCCATATATATCGAGTCTTACAAATATTTATTAAACTTTTCCCCAGACTGGGTGCACCGAATAAATAAATATAAAGTTTCGGTAAATATGACTAGCGCAAATCGATGTTAAAATAATACCCTCTTCTCTATATGTACATATATATATGTGAATTTGTGTAGCAAATGCAGACACAAAAAAAAACTTAAAATATAAATTCGGCAAATATATATGTATATAATATTTTTAACGCTTCAAAAATGCACCTTGGACCACCGGACGCCGGCGCGGCGGGAACGCAACCGATTTCCCGCGTCTAGCCGACGGCGACGCGTTCGAGGTTACGCTCTCTCAGCGCGGCAGAAATATCCGGATCTTCCCTCGCGGCATGCAAAATACCCCGAGTCTTTAATTACATTTGACGCCCTCGTAACCGTGGTTCCCGGGCGAAGTCGCGGCCGAAAAAAATTCGATACCGCCGACGCGAAAAAAAACCGCACGGACGTTTAAATTCGCCTCTGCCCTTTTTAATCGCGGCACAAATAGCGGGATGCTCCCATTTAACGTGGCCCGGGGTAACCGGTACGCGGTGCCGGATGCGAAACGTACACGCCACTCGAAACCCCGGCAAATTTGCTTCAAACGTTATTCCCGGCTGCGTCAAATTTGCTTTTAAAGAATTTTCGACGAGACTCGCGTTCGGAGATGGACGCGCGGTTCCGGGAGGACCGATTTTCCGCGATATCAGCGTACGTCCGCGTTTTACGTCGTGGTCACGCGCGGTTTCCCGAGAATCGTGAACGTTTCGGACGCTCGACTCGGGTCAACCGATCGAACGAGGTCCGCCGGCGTCGCGAATCAACGAATCGCGTACCACCCCGATGCGACGACTCCCGCGGCCGAAATATAATAATCACCGTTTACTCCGTTCTCCCCGACCTGCCTTTTTGCGGGGAAAGAATGTCTCGTGCTCGGAGTGCCGACGCGGTCGAGTCCGTGTTCTCGGAAAGGGGAGTCGGGAGAAGAAGGAGCGCCGATCGACTTCCTCGACCTTCGCGGGCTCGACGTAAACAAGTGGCGCGCCGGGGTCCGGTCCGGGGAGTATTCGCTCAGGAAATCGTGTATTTTAACGCTCGAAATGGCGTGAAATCACGTGAAATCACGTGAAATCACGTGGAAATGACTAAAAATCGTAGGAAACCACCGAACGATGTCGCAATTGTACGGCCGAACGTTGCTCGTTACCGATTCGCATAGCCGTCTCCGGATGAAACCAAAAGCAGTCGGGTCTCAAGAAAGGAAATCATTTTCACCGATTTCCAAGCGAATATCCCTTCGGTCCTGTCGGTGTCTCCATCGGGTACGTACCTACCGACGACGAGGAGGCATAATCCAGAGAGGGGTCGCTCGGCATGCCCGGGAGCGTCTCGACGGGCCCCCGCCGACCTCGGTCCTCGATTCGCGCACTGGTCCTCGCGCCTCCCCGGGGCGTCCGGTCGCGTCCGACGCCACCCCCGGGACCGGCGAACGGGTGGGCGCGCGAGCGAGCGGCGACCGACCGACCGCGAGAGGGAAAGCGGACGCGCGCACACGCCACGGCGGTTCTACGTCGACTGAGGACGGGGAGCCCGAGCGGCGCCTCGCGGCCGCCCGCGGCCGCCCGCCGCCGCCCGCCGCCACCCGCCGCCCCACCACCGCGACCCCGAGCCGCCGGCCACCCCGACCCGGCCGCGCTCCTGGGCAACCTTCGAGGTTGCCCGCCGGCCGCGAGCACGTGCGGGCCCGGCCCCGGCCAAACCGGACCGGAACGGACGGGCCGCGGGGAGCCCGTGCACGAGAATGCATTTCAATAAGAGTTTTTCGGCCGCGCGACGACCGCGGAGGGTGCGCACCCTTGCGGCTTTTCCCGCGATTTAAATACGAGGAGGGATTACGGGACGCCGGCACGCCGCGGGGGAAATCGCGTTTCTTCCGACAACAAAAACGCGCGGATCCGGCGGAAGCCCTTCGAGTCTTTCGGAAGTAATTTCCACGCGGTCGAATCACCCGGGCCCGGATAGCCGCAATCGGAGAAAATGGATCGGCAATGCCGGGCGCGTTCCATTCGGGGTGGCTTGCTTCCGGTCCGGGTCAACAAACGCGGTTTGACCGCGGCGGATTCGCGGAAAGGAGTCGTTATGCCCTCGCTCTCACGGTTATTTTTTTTTCTTTTTCATTTCCCTCGCGAGTTTCCGACGCGGATATTCGAGGCGCCCGATTCAGCCGCGACAAGGAATCGACCGAAGGAAAAATGTGGCTGTCGGAGGAGAATGGGAGGTGTCAATCGTAAATCGATGCACTTTCGCAACGTTTCTCTCGTAAAAGAGGGACGAGTCGAGTTGCCGCGGACATTTCCGCATTACCTCCGGAAAATGTGCCGCGGCGGCGAATCGACTCGGCCTGGCCGCGTCGTCGACGACGCACGCCGCGGATCGCGCGAAGGCGACGACCGGCCGTTGTCTCCGTCGCGGAAATCGAATCGGTTTCCGCATCGACCGACCGTGGCAACGCAAATGGAAAAGAGACGCGAGCGCATCGATAGCGAGGAGCGTTCTCGAAAAGAGCGACTCTTTTTTCACGCACGGTACTCTCCGCCGAGCCCTCTCCTCCGCTACTGAAATCCAATTTTCCCGCATTCGAGTCGAGCTTTTCCTGCCTGCGCGGCAGACGCGGTCTATACGGGATAGGGGAAAACGATGATCCTCGTGAAAACGGTTTCGCGTCTCCTTTCCGATAAGGGAACGAGCGGAGCGGGAAGCAAGAATCGCGCCACGAGGGTCTGCGCGTTGCTTCGAGCTTTCCATGGAAATTAAAAGAGGCATTCGCGAATCTCGGAGTAAACGAACGGACCCGCGCGCGGAAATTAGGACGCACCGTCTCGCGCAGTTGTCGCGGAGTTTCGGCGCGACTGCGATAACGCGTCCCCGTCGTTTTTTCTTTCGAGTCGGCGGCGTCATTGCGGCTCCTTTTAAGGGGATGCGAAATACAAGGGGTCGATCGTTCGTGAAACTTTTATCCGAACCGAGGGTATCGAATCGTTTCAAACTTTATACCGTGAATAATGGAGGCTGGAAGGAAGGTCCTGACGCCCATGAAATTTCACTTTTAATAACAAATTGGTAAAATGTCAATGAACAAATTTTTAAACGATTCAAATTTCGTGGGTGTTTTCTAAATACATAGACTTTTTTATATACATATATGACGCTTTCCCATCACCTCAATGACTCGTCGGCATCGACTATCGCCGAGGCACCCCTTTGTCGGCGTCTTCCTCACTGTCACGGTCGTCCCTGTCATCGGCACCGGACAGCTGGGCGAAGGCGGCTCTCCTCCCGATAAAGATATCGATCCAAACGCGCCGTAACCAACCCCGTCGGAGGCGGAAGGGTTGGTCGGGCGATGCGTACCTCGCCCCTTGGCCATCCGAACGACCGGGTCTCGGGTGACCGTACTTCCTCGAGCACCACGTGGCCGAGTCCAGGGTCGATATTTATTACCGCGGCACCGGACCGACTTAAACCACCCCTCCTGGTATCGACCGACGCACCTACCCCTCTAACCGAATGACATCGATTTACCGCTAACGACCGCTTTGATGGCCTTAAGGTGATACGAAAGGGTCATACCGTATATATCAAAACGTCTACATATTCTAAGACTCTCTCCAGACTGGACGCACCGAATAATGGGGTTCTCTAACGCGCGATTACGGAGGTCCTAACGAAGGTCTCGAAACTCGTGAAATTTCATTTTTCGAAAACAAATGTTTATTCGCCCCTCTTTCTGCCGCCCTCCTTCCTCCGGAGTTTTGAGAAAGATGGAACGTTTCGATTGGTATCGCGAAGGGAGTCGGCGGCGACGTCGATTCCGTCCCCGTTTGGCCGTGACGGATCGCGAGCTTCGGGCACGTTTTGTCGGTCGACTCCTCGAGCACGCGTAAACGGGAACGCCGCATTCCGTTCGGCATTCCGTGCAACGCTTTCCGCTCCGGAAGGGCCATATTTCGAGTGTTAATGACGCAACGGTTTCAACGCGGGAACAGGCCGCGCTGTCGAATCGGCACGGTCGCGATATCGGCGACCTTTCCTCGTGGACGCGCCATATTTGCCAGTCGGCTCGGAAAGGGGGCGAGAAGGTATCGATCGGGGGGCGATAATCGAACGAGCGCTGCCGATCGTTAATATTTAATCCCCCGGGACAAAGACGCGGCGAACGATCGCCGAGCGGAAACCGCGTCGAATTCCCGTCAGCCGTTCCGGACGCCGTTCCCCGCTCGGGATAATCAGCTTTTCGGGTAATTGGTGGCGAGGTATTAAGTATTTAAGTCGATCGGCGTTCCGACGATGCGTTTCGCTGCTCTCCTTTCCTCTTAAATTCGTTCACTCTTGAGATAATTAAAAAACAGGACGAGACTTTTGCCCGGGAGGAACGGCTTTTGGCATTGGGAGGCTAATTGCCCGCCATTGGCCGAGAGATCGAGACGAGTTCCCCGGAGAATAGGAGGCCGGGATTGGCTCGCGTTTCGCGAACCCGGGTATCCCCTTTTCCCCTTTCCTTCCGCGAAAACCCCGATACCGTCCGGACGTACCGCTGGCGCCAAATTAGTATTTAATGGCAAAAGTTTCTCGACGCGGGGAGGACCGCTCGGACGCCTTCGAGGAGGTCGTATCGACTAATCGTCCGCGACTCGGACCACGCACGGACATAAAAGAATGGTCAGGAAAACCAGAATTGGGATAACCCCAGGAGGTCGTGGCAACCGAAGTATCTCGGTGGAGGAACAAAGTATATACGCGCGGCAAAAGAACTCGAAATCGGGGGGGTCTCCGGGTCCGAGACGGAGGACCCGCGCCGGAATCGGCACTTTTCGCCTCCGAAGGAGCGAACTCGGCATTCCGGGGCGCGGGGTGCGGAATGCGCGCAGCGAATTAAGGCGAGCGGGGGAGGAGCGGGACCGCAGATTCCGCGGCCGACTCCCGGCAATAATACGCACACCTGTTCGGTCCCGGTAATGGATGGAGCGTAGGTGGAGAGCTCGGCTCGAGCTGCCAAGTCTCGCCTCTCGCTTATATTTACTCGGTGCCCCCGAGCCTCCGTTTTATCCCTCCGCGGCCCCTCCGCCCTGTCTTGCCCGCGGTGTCTCGAGTCGTACGTCGGACGTCGCCATATTTCTGTAACTCGAGTACGAGGAAGACGGTGTCCGCCCCCTCGGCGTCGTTCCGCGGGGTCGAAATTCCGGGAGAAGTGGGCCGCGCGGTTTCCGCTGCGAATCGACGGGCAGGATACCGAGGAGGAACAGCGAACGCGGCCGGTCGTCCCTCGGGGACCGCCGTTTAACCGCGACTCGAGCTTTGACAATACTTTAAAGTGACTTTAAAGGGCGAAAGTCCTGACATCCATAAAATTTTAGACGTTTAAAAATTTCTTTCGACGTTTTTAAAATTCCTTTCCAAGAAATGAAATTTCGTGGGCGTAAAGGACCTCGCCGGTAGCCTCCCCGTTCACGTTGTGGGCCGTCCACGGGACGGTCGGCGTCTTCGTCCCGGGAAGAGGGACAAACGGGAGAGCGGGACCCGCCCGGCCGATTCCGCGGGCGGCTCCGCTTTATGGCGGGTCGTGGGTCGCCTCGTTCGAGCGGGGATCCGCTCTTTGAATCCTTTCAAAATGCACTTTCGCGTTTTTAGGAGGACGCGCGAACGGCTGCCGCCCGCCTCGGCGAATTTCACGCCGGATTCGAGTCGTAACGGAGCGAGACGATAAGCTCCGATCGCCGAATCGCCCGCCAAACGCGCGCGATTCCATTTAACGAGATATACGCGGACCGTCATGCGGGAATTAATCGCGCCGGTTCCCCCGTAAAGGCTAATTTCCCCATTATTGTACGAGCGTAATGAAACGCGTTTAATACAGTAGGGACGCGCCCCTCCTCGACGGGCGACCTACGTCGCGCCCGGACAGGAACGGCCGCAACTCGGCACCCCGGGAGGCATTCGCTCAGGAAATCGGTCTTTAATGCCCGGAGATCGTTGAGTCTCTGGAGGCCCAAGGCCCTCGGACCTCCGAGGTACGCTCTTAAATATACAGGGAGAGCGGTCAACGGAGCATATTCGGACCCGGAGGAACGAGAGAGGGATGGTAAATAATGTAACGGAGCGTGGTTACGTGTCCGAGGAATAACGTATCGCCGTTACGCGAACGGCGCGGACGTCGGCCTTGCCCCCGCGAGGACGCGCCCATCCCGGTAAATATCGTCGGATATTCGTATTCCGGTCTCCGCTTCACCGACCGCGGGGCACTCGTTAAACATCCGCCGAGGGAGGTTTATCGCGACGCAAAAAGGGCCGACCGGGCGGGATTCCGGAAGAAGGTGGAACCGCCTTCGGGAAGTATGATTAATACGCCCCAAAGCCGGCCCGGGCTCGAGTCACCGAGGGGAACCGTTTAGTCTCGAGAAAGTACCTCGTCGTCGAACTCGGAAGCAATCGTCGTCGCCTCGGGCCGAAGGAGGTTCGCGGCAAGAACGGCA